CTCGCCGCGTCTCGCCGCTTCCCCCTCCCTGGCGGGCTCGGTCCCGGGCACCGGGGGACCCCCTCCGGGAGGGCAGAGCCGGGGCTTTGCACCGTCCGGAGGAGGATGCGGCACCTCGGGGTGAGCCTTTGGGTTTTGGGGGGAGGAGGGGGGGCTTGCCCGCAAAATCTCCGCCATCGTCAAGTCCGGGTGCGGGAGACCCCGGTGTGGGGCTGGGCGCACCGGCCCCCCAGCAAAATCCCCCTTGTGAAAGATTTGCTTACTCGAACCAAAGGGCTGCCCCTCTCGAAGTGAGCCCTGGTTTTGCAGCATTTATTTGGAGCATTTGATTCTAATTATCCACGGAATCCAGCCTTCTAATTGCAACTGGGGGAAAAAAAAAAAAAGCATCTCCCCAAATTCCAGTTTTATCTGCTGCTTCCCCCCAGCCACGCTGCCCCCCGGAAAAAGAGGGTCTAGTACAAGATTTGCAGGAAAAAAACCAAATTGGGTGAGTGCTTCAAGCATTCCAGCATTTAAAAAGTAACAGGGACGTTGCATGGTTTTGAGAGCATTTTGTTTAATTACTGCGATGTATAATCACCTTGAAATGAAGCGTGCACTTTGAATTTCAATGTAGCGGTGTTTAAATGTGCCTGAATGTCCCTGTGCCTTCTGTGTGAAAATGAATATATCCTGGTAAAGCGCAAAGCAAGGTTTTATTTTACTTAAAAATTCTTTCATTTCCTTCTCAGTAATTTCTCAAGGCTTCAGCTTTCAGTTTGCAGACTCACAGAGTGAGTTTGGACAAAGGTGGGGTTTTTTTAAATATAATTTTACAAAGCATCTTTTAAAAAAATCCCGTCTTTAAGGCGTATTATATGTGTTGAACTTGCAAGTGCGGATTTAATTGAACTTCTCTTTCAGGGCCCAATCCAAAGCTTAATGAGGTTGTGGAAGAGTTTCTGTTTCCCTGGGCTCCAGACCACTGGCTTTGCAGTGCTGTTGGACACTTGGCAAAACTTTTTGTTTCCCCTCATGTGATATATATTTAAAATATTTTTCTATAATGCCCATTTCCTTGGGTTCTCACAGCTCTTTAATTAAAGTTTACCTCAGTGAAATTCTGTGAGTCGGGTAAATTGTATTTCATCTGGCTTAGAGGTGGCTGAGTCCAAGCAATATTTGCTATTTCTAGTTCTTTGCTTTTCAAAGCCAGCTGCTCCTGCGGAGTACCTTCCGCGGAAGATTCGAACCTTGTTGCGTGACTGAGGCCGGGAAGGGATTTGCAGGACACTTAGGAGCTTTGGGGCAAGCCCACGGAGGTAGGAATGAAAACAAGAGCCCCTGTTTTCTGATCCCTGCCTTCAACTGCAAGTCAAATTTCTGCAGCAGCAGCC